ATAACGTTGAATCAAATTTTGATAGTGTTTCTGCTCCTTTTCTTTCTTATGTATTTTTGTGTATTTCTACTATTCTTCTGGTTTAAATATACTGAGTTGATACGGTCTTTTTACATTTTTATTGGGAGACTTAAGGATTATAATGGTTTTATATTTCATTTCTTAGGGATTGTAATGGTTGTTTTGGTTCTAAATTTATTACTTTTTGTTTATAATATATATATATATATATATAATTTTGTATATTTTCCCTTTCGCGTTTATTTTTCGAGTTTGTTCTACTATGAACTCTTTCTTTAAACTGGATTTGTTTTGATATTGTGTTAAACCTCTTATAAACGGCTGCAATTAACTATATTATAGAGGATTGCTTTTATTCCAATTTAATAATAAATTTTGATGCTTTAAGTTCAAAAGTTTAAGTTTATATATAGATATATTAAGTTAAAATAGAAACTAAACAGGCAAAAGAAAAAAAATAAGAGACTAAACAATAAACATTAATTGAACAAAATAATGGTAGTACAAATTATAATTGAAGTAAACTGAAATTTTTTTAATATTAAAATATAAAATCCAAAAATGGAGTCACCAAATATTTGCTATATTATATAAATTAAAATGCACCGGTATAAATGATTAAAACTGGAAAAAAGCTGTGTTATTTTCCACAGATTCTTACGTTGTCAAGATATGCCAAATATGTTTTGACTCCATCATTAGTTTTTGATTTTCAATTAAAAAAATTAAGTTAACTCCATTTATAATCTGCAAGAACATTACTTTAATTCACCGTCGTTCCATAGAAACTTTACTGCGTTTCTAGGTTTAAATTAAGTAATAAAACACTGAGTTTGGTCGAAATTGCTTTGAAAATGCAATAAAAATTTCTGTTTGCTTGTGAAAATATTACTTAAATTCTCTAGCATGACTTCTCTCCATAAAGGAAGTAAAACATGACTTCCCTCCATTCGTATTATATCGAATAAAAGTAAACGACAAGACCAGCGGCTGTTAAGTAAATACAAGGTATTTTCAATCAGTTACTTCAAAGGTACTAAAGAAGTACTCTTTTTAATGTTCTTTATCTCCTTTCAATACTATAAATGGAAAATATGTTAAAATAAAATAAATAAATCGATATTTTTTATAAAATACGATATATTAGCACGAAAGTCTACGTAATGGGAAACAGTGACAGTAATAAATTTTAAAGAAGTTCGTAGTGCATCGTAATTTTGCTACCTATCTACAAATCCATAAAATAGGAAAAAAATCACGTTCGCTTGGTTACGGTATATTCCATTATTGACCAAAACCATTTTGATTTTGAGTTGTAATATTATTGAACCTGAATCTTCAGAAAACGAAATCACTCTGGTTTATGCAATTCCGCCTAAGTGTAGAATACAGTCTTCAAAAGGAAGAGTTTAGAATAAATAATGCGTTATAGACAAGAATAAGATTAAAAGATTTCATTATTTTTCAGGCGCAGTTCGTGAAACTGCTTAAGGCAAAGTACAGACTTGTCTCATTCGGAACATTTCCAAAAAAGTATTCATTTCTTCTTCATGTTTTGCATACTCAGCTGCTAATTTTATTGAAAATCTGACGTATTCTTCTTCCGTTTTATATTTCACTGTTGCTGTTTGCCATGGGAAGAAGATTTTTCCGTGGACATTGCATACTTCACTAATAGGTGTGGTACTTTTCTGATAATTTGCATTCAAAACTAATATGTATAAAATCTCTAGATATGCAGCAATTAGCATTGCTATTGCAATTAGCAGTTAGCAATAGCAATTAGCAATGCAGCAGTAGCAATGTTTGCTTAATCTGAAATAAAAATTGCAACCCATGTGCAGAATATAGCAAGTTTGCCTTAGAATCTCCTCCAGGAATGCATTTTTGTTTCTTAATCTTTAGATGCTTGCCGTATCTATCAATTAAGTTCACCATAATCCTATCTTTTCTCTAACTTGTGAAGTATTCCTGTTTGAATGCGTGGGGAAAGGAGAAACAATGGCTCCGAGTTGATCGAAGCATTCATTCTGCATCTCTTCTTAAAAATAAAGCTGGTTAAATGAGAAAATGTGTTTAATACTTTATGGAGAATATTTTATTTACTTATTGTATATGATCTTCATAAGAAATTCAGTGTTATATATATTTGAAGAATGGTTTGGCTTAAGTATTTAATTAAAATAATGCTTGAAAATGCGGCTTTTTCTAAATTAACTCATACCAAAATGTGTTAAAAGTTCGTTTAAGTTACCTAATGTACTGAATCGTTATATGGAGTTTATGCCAATTTATCTGTTATGTATGATATTTATGCATAATTTTGTTTGCTATCCTTGAGAAATTAAATGTCAGATGCACTCAAAAAGGCTGTTAAAAGTTCAGTGTTGGATCATTTTTTGGAATACATATCAGTATTTTCTGTTATTCAGGATTTTATTTACTGTGTATGATAAATTAAATATCATTCGCATAAAGCTGTAAGAGTTTAGTATTAGATTAGATCATGTCCATTTGAAATGCCTTTCAGCTTAAGTTAGAAAGAATATGTTAAAAAGCTTTGAGTCTCATAACCAATAATGGTAATGCTATTTGGAAAAAAAAAATATTCTGTGTTGGGAGAAAGGGAACAAGCTTTCAATTCCTAGCTAAATGTTGATTCCATGCGCATTATAGACATCTTTTTTGAGTTCTTCTTCGCAAATATGGCTATAATTCGAATTTAAAATAATACATTACAAAGTGGATTTTCTTTTCTGTAGTTAAAAATAATTCGATCTCCTATACCTTGCCAAGAAAATAAGGCTGTGATAAGTTTGAATACAACATTGTTTATGAAATTCTGCGGTAAATGGTGGAATCATATTAAGAATCCAAGTGACGTTTTCACATGAAGAAAATCAAGGTTTAGCACAATAGCCCACCAGCGGCCGAGCGGTAAAGTCGCGGAACACTGGTAGTTCGGTCCGAGGTTGGAATCCCGCGAACGGGCTAGCTGCATGGGCGTTTTCGTAGTTTTCCCCATATGTAACGTGTATACCAGCCAGTTTCCCTTAGAAAGTTCTCCACGAAGGCATCCCTCCCATTAGGCAGATAGCCCTCGAGGCTTTGCCATAATCACACACACACACATGAGGTTTAGCATATGTTTGGTGATTTAAGGTAGTATGCATGCAATAAAATCGAAAATAATTTTTGTAAAGTGTTTAGCAGAATAATAAAATGGTTTGGTTTGGTTTATTTAACTATGGCAAAGCACACTAGGGCTATCTGCCTAAGGGGAGGGATGTCTTCGGAGGACTTTCTAAGGGAAACTGACTCTTATACACCTTACACATGGGGAAAACCAAGAATAATAAGAAATGAAACACTTTTGGTATGTATTTGAAGTAAACTGACTAGACAAACTAACAAACTGACTAGAAAGATCTACGTATTGGTTTGAGTGGACTTTATGGCATGAAAGTTTATTACTCTTTATAAGATTTCTTCAAATTCTATAGGTTTTACTGCGAAGAAAGTAAGTCTTGTGTGAGTCTGTATTTATATGTGGCAAAAAAGAATCAAAAATGCGACATGAATATATTTTAAAAGCAAGATAAAAGCTAAATATGAGAAAACTGTATAGATAATTTAGGAAATGTAAAATTTACATTTGTTGGACATAGTTTGGTGAACCCTTTAAAAAACGTAAGACGTGTAAAAGAGAATCCGTTATGTTTTGTATAGTGTTTCAAAAGGTTAGTGTAGTCATTAGCAATTAGTAAAATACATTAGAAGGAAAGTTCTGAGTATCTTCTATTAAGCATTAGTACTATAGAAAGTAAAATTCCAATTAAACTTTATAGAATGAACATCGGACGCATTGGTTTAAAGTTACAGAAAATATTATCTACGAAGGTCTTATTAAAACAAGGGGGAGAATTGAAGGGTAAAATAAAAAAAAAATTACATTTATAAAGACGAAAAAAGTAAAAAGGGAAAAGAAAAAAACTGAAATTTACTTTGGAAGTAAAATGCAAAAGAAAAAATTGCTTTTGTAAAAACAGAAAAGTGAAAAAAAAAATAAACTTATGGAAATAAATATTCCTTATTTAAAATAAATAAAGTGAAAAGTGTAAAAACAACTTAAGATAAAAATCGAAAAAGAAAACAGAAACTTTTAAAAATAAATATTACTTTTGTAAAATTAAAAAAAGTGAAGCGTAAAAAAACTTTTTCAAAGTAAAAAAAAAAAAAAAAAATTGTAAAATATGAAAGTGAAAAGAAATGTAAAAAATAAATTTACTACTGTAGAACTAAGCATTAAGTAAAGTAATTAATTTGACTGAGAAGATTAAAAGTAAAATTAACGTTTGAAAAATGTATAAACGTGAGATGAAAAAAATTAATAAATGTAATCGCCAAATTTCTTTCGCCATTGAAAGGTGTCAGGCGATTTGGGCACGTCGGAATAGTCCAGTGTATGCGCAATCCTTCAGCCTGGTGACATCGTGGAGGTTTTCCCTCTACAAGGTCAAATAAGAGGGCTCGAACGACAGAACCGTGGGCCCACAGCAACATGCGTGTATACCATGCGAGAGCTGGCGGGTTCGAATCCTAGCTGTGACGGTTACTTTTAAAATTCGTGCAATTACATAAAATATATTCTTTAAAAATTGCTATATTAAATTAAATGATGGAATCAATTAAATATAATCACAGATTAAATAATTAAAAATGATGACTATTTAATTAATTAAAAATGCTAAAATAAAATTGATGCCGTTCAAAACATGTGATTCAAGAGGTCCTTGTCACAAAACCGAAAGAAATCTTCGTTGCCACAAAAATAAAACTATAACGTGTTATCATGAAAATAAAGTGTGTTTATAGAATTCTAATTTGTGCTACTGCCCGACTTAAGCAATTTGAATTTAAGCTTTGAAACTGTTTTTAAGTATCCATATTCGTATTCATTTTTTTAAAATTATTTTCAGGCCACATAATCATTCAGAGAATCGGAAAAGAGATGCGCTTGTTCTCCAATTATTTGATACCTTCATTGAAGATATTCCTCTCCTAAGAAGTTTGGAGAGGCTAAGATACTTCTGGCGGTCCATTCCGGACCCTTTCATCACACCTAATGAACTGCGATGTGTGATGCAAAGGCTCATCGATTCCAACGATGGTGAACTGGAAGAAATTTGTAAAGATTTTCAAAAGAACTATTTTTCTGTTTTGTACGGGACAAAACCAAGCGAAGAGACCAAACCAAGAAGCCTGAGGCATTATTGCCGCTGCAGCATCCGTGAAAGACTGCGTCTTAATTCCAAGCTCCCAGATGGAATCACCAGCTTAGGCTTGCCTTCTGTGGAGCAATCTTATTTAAAATTATCATATTAATTTTTTATATATGTAAGCACGCCATGCCTGGATATTTTTTCAGCTGAAGCAAAGAATTAAATTCGTGCCCTGGTGTAGAATCAAATGAGGTATATATGTACACTTTCATATTATAACTCTTATAATACTTTTATTTGTAGAAGGAGTGATACAAGTATAATTTGCAAATTTTGTAAAAAATTTGTAAAAAAATGTTAAAACAAGCGCATTTTTGATAATTAAGGAATAATCTTGAAACATTGTGAATAATAACATTGGTATTTTATATCGAAAATCTTGAACTAATTTTTAAATATTTTTTAAAATTTAACTTTTCTTACTTTCAACGAAATAAAATCGCTGGTAATTTTTTTTTCAAAATTTACTTCTTAAATTGATTACTTGATTCCTGTTCTCTAGTGAAAATAGCATTTTTTGAAAACTGTTCTTCACCAAGTGAGGTTCTCATATTATTATTATTATTATTATTTTAAGTTTGCTATGGCTTCTTTCACTTCTTACAACAGTAACTGGCAACATTAAAGTATTCTTAGTATCATCTTTCGGATAAGCTTGAAGTAAACTGCGTTTCTAAGTTATATTTGAAAGGTCTAAACTTTTAAAAGTCTAAATCTTTGAAAGGTCTAAATCTAAGTTTCATCAGACAACAAACTGAAAATTAAACTTGTAGGTGATTTAATTTCTAGAATTTTCGAAATCGCATGATTTTCAAAACTAGATATGTGCGATTCATATTCTGCAATATTTATATCATTTGGGCATATGTTTTTTTAATAAATTCTCCAAATCTAATAACATTAATTATCAGTCTCCCTAATCAGAAACTGAAAATCGGAAGATATCTTTTTTATATATCTTTATTTAAGTTGTCACGTTGATCATCTCCTTTATTTTTACAAAGAAAAAAAAAATATTTTTCTGAAAAATTGGTAATATTATCAATTGGTTTAACATAATATCCTTCATTAACCTTTCCTTTTTTCATGTCTGTTCAAATTCTATTGATATATCCATTTTTAAAGTTAAATTTCCACATCTCTCAACAATATTTTGGCAAATATTTTTCCTATATAGTGTAAATAAAGATATAATACATAGATAGCTTCCGATTTCAGTAACTTTTAACTAAAGAAATGTCAGTGGGTTTATGTATTGCTTAAAAGGAGCAGATTCTGACTTAGAACTTAAACATAATACAAATGATATAAACGTTTCAAAATGTTTCGTCAGAACTATTTAGTTGTAAAACGCTACTTTAATGATTCTGGTTGTTAAAGCATGATCGGCTACTTTAAGTATGATTCAGTAATCCATTTAGTTCAGTCATTTCTGAGTTAGAAAACTTCAAGGATATTCTTAATGTTGCCTATTATTATTGTTAGGGTGAAAGAAACTTCTTAAAGCTTAAAATTTTAAAAACAATTCTAGAACGTCTTCTCCTGTTTAAGAAAAATTTTAAATATGGTAATTTTCTCTCACATCCGTAAAATAATAGAGCCGACATCAGTTAAATAATCAGGTAGATTAAAAAAAATGTATTATCTTGGTTTCTTCGTTGAAAGAGGAAAAAATTAAATTTCAAACAATCTTGAAGTACAAGTACAGTACTTTCGTATTAATTTCATTATTATTTATATTATTTCAATATTATTTGCTATTTATCAACATACATTTAAAAATTATATATCATTACATGTATTATGATTTTGAACGTATAAAGCTACGATTAAAAATATTGTAACTGTTAACGTTATCATTGCTGATTCTAAAAGTTTATAGGTATAGTTAAAGTCATATTTTACAGAGTTGTGGCTACATTTATCCAGGCTTACAGAAATTCTACAACCATAAGTAGCTATATTTATCCTGGTGTAAAATAATTTTCCTGTCAGTGCAGCAGTGATAAATACAATAAATTGTAATGTAGTAATATAATGTTGAAAATAGGTTGTAATGCATTTGCGATCTTTTAAAATGCATCGACGTTTTTAAGTCTCTTATTGCATTTGACATCCAAAAGACTTAAGTGTGTTATGTCAAGTATTTTTAAGTACTGTGCCAAGCTACGCTTCAGTGTATTTTAAGTAGCTTAACAACAGAATATAAGATCTGTTACCGTATTTAATTTTTTTTTAATTGTATACATGCAGTACTATAATTTGTGTAAATGTGTGGAAAATATTTTATAAATGTCATTGATTTGTCGCTATAACTGCCTATATATTTCCTCGTGTAAGGGAATTCTGATGTTAGTATAGCAGTGTTTAATATAATGTACTGTAATGTAATAATATTATGTTGAAAATGTGTTGTGACGTCTATATGCTATGTTAAGATAGTAACCAGGTTATATGTCTGTTATTGCATTGACGCTTAAGTGTTGCGAGTGTTTTTACGTTATGTACCAAGTTATGTTTTAGTGCATTTTAAGTAGCTTAATAGCAAAAGATATAAATATTGCTATATTTTATAAATTTGATTAATTCCCTGAGATCCGTACTATTAATTGTATAAGTGTATGGAAACAATTTTGTAAACATCATTATACTATAAGCATAAGTACTCATATTTATACCGGTATAAGATAATCGTCCTTTAAGTGTATAGCACTAATTAATATAATATATTGTTATATTAATTAATATAATATGTTATTGATTAATATAATTAGTATTAATATAATTGATTAATATAATATGTAGTTGAAAATGTGTTTTAATGTGTAGTTAAATGATTATATATGTTATAATATGTAGTTAAATGATTTTTTGTATGCCGCATTAAGAATGTATTTAAGCTTTAAATTTGTTATTACATTGCTTTCGAACAGCGGTGAGTGCGTTATATCTGGTGTTTTTACATAATGTGCAAGCTATGCTTCAGTGTATTTTAAATATCTTAACAGCAGAATTTATGAACTCTTCCTGTGTTTTAAAATTTGTATTAACCGTATAAATTCAGTGTTATTAATTGCATGAGTATATGGAAACTATTTTAGAAGCGCCATTGTTTTGTAACCGTGAACGTCCATATTTATCCTCATATAACGCAATTTTCTTGTTAGCGCAGCAGTGTTGAATACGACTTAATACAGTATGATAATATAACGCTGAAAATGAGTTGTAACATGTCTATGCTATGTTAAGAATGCTTCTAGGTTTTTTTAGTCTGTTATTGCATTGCCTTGGAATAGACTGAAGTATGTTCAGTTGTTTTTACGTAACGTAACATGCCAAGATCTATGAATTGCTAATGTATTTTATAAATTTTATTAATTGTATATGTTCACTATTATTAATTGTATAAACGTATGGAAACTGTTTTATTAACATCATTGTTCGTGAATATCATTGTTCATAACCACAGATGGCTACATTTATATTGGTACAAGGTTATTCTCATGCTAATGCAGCGACGTTTTATGTAATGCATTGTAATATAAAAACATAATGTTAAAACATTTTGTTACGCAGTTGTGTGAAGCCGAACATGCAGGCATCCCGTTCGCCTTGGATCGAAACTGGGTTGAATTCCCAATATAGATCGGGGTTAACCAGTCGAACCGGTGCGGCTTACTTAGAAAAAAAAAAAAAAAAAAAAAAAAACTTATCTCTCTTATACTTAAAAGATTTTAATATCAAACAGCTAAAATATTTATTATGCGGGTTCTACTTACAGTTCCCAAACAGCTTGTGACTGATGGTATGCCATTTTCTTCAAATGTGCAGATAAAATAAATATAAATCAGAACTCTTTGCAAAGATTCCTGCTGAAGGTTTCACCCTGAAACGTCAGGTAGTTTCACTATGTTAAGTGTTAACTTGATTGAGAAGATCTGAAAGATTATTTGCAAAGAATCAAATGATTTTTTTTTTTCAGAAATGTATGAATTCATACAAAAATGGAAGAGGTGATAAATGTTTTAATCTCACAACTGAAATGGAGGAAAATTTAAATGAGATAGTTACCGATTTCTATAAATTTAACTGCTGAAAGGACACTGAATTTGTGTATTGTTTGAAATTGTACCATTGTTTGTAAGGAGCAGATTCTGACTTTGAACTTAAACATGATATAAATGTTCCAAAATTTTCATCATAACTTTTTAGTGTAAAAACGTTATTTTAATAATTCTGGTTGTTAAAGCATGATCAGCTGCTTTAAATATCATTCTTTAATCCAGTTTGGTTCAGTTCTTTATGAGCTAGAATATATCAAGGATTTTTTTAATGTCGCCTATTACTATTGGCTGTATTTATCCTGGTACAAGATAATTTTCCTGTGAATGCAACAATGAATTATACAATACATTGCAATGTAGTAATATAATGTTGAAAATGAGTGGTAATATATCTGTGTTCTGTTAAAATTCATCTAGGTTTTAAGACTGTTATTGCATTGTCATCCAAAAGACTTAAGTGTATTAGATCATGTATTTTTACTTACTGTGCCAGGCTATGCTTCAGTGTATTTTAAGTAGCTTAGCAGCAGTATATAAAAACTGTTATACTTTTAAAACTTTATTAATTTTATTCGTGCAGTATTGTAATTTGTGTAAATGTATGGAAAATGTTATAAAATGAATTGCCATTGATTTGTCGCTATAACTGCCTATATATTTCCCGGTATAAGGGAATTCTGATGTTATTGTAGCAGTGCTTAATATAATGTATTGTAATGTAATAATATTATGTTGAACATATGTTGTGATGTATTTGTGCTATGTTAAGAAAGTACATAGGTTTTAAGTCAGTGATTGTACTGACGCGGGATAGGTTTAAGTTTTGCGAGTGCTTTTATGTAATGAACCAAGTTATGTTTTAGTGCATTTTAAGTAGCTTAATACCAGCAGATATGAATCATTACTGTACTTTATAAATTTTATTAATTGTATAAGTGTATGAAAACGATTTTTAAACATCCTTCTACTATAACAATAAGTATCATATATATCCGGGTATAAGACAATCGTCGTTTCATTGTAGCAGTGATTAATACAATACGCAATTGATTCATATAATTAATTAATATATTATTATTAATATTATTAATTAATGTAGTATTTATTTAAAAATGTGTTTTAACGTAAGCATGCCATTTAAAGTATGTATTTAGGTTTTAAATCTGTTATTGGATTGCCTTGGAATAGACTGAAGTAGTATATGAATTCACACATTTTTGAAAAAAAATCATTTGAATCTTTGCAAATAATCCTTCAGAAGTTCTCAATCAAGTTAACGAATAGACGAAACTACTTTTTGAAACATCTCTGTTTCTTGACCATAAACGTCTATATTTTATCCTCATATAGGCATTTTCTTGTTACCGCAGCAGTGTTCAATATGACTTAATACATGATAATATAACGCTGAAAATCTGTTTTAACATATCTATGCTAAATTAAGAATGCATCTATGGTTTTGAGTCTGTTATTTCATTGCCTTGAAATTGACAGAAGTGTGTTCAGTTGTTTTTATGTAACGTGCCATATTTTAACTATCTCAATACGTATGAACTGTTCCTGTATTTTATAAATTTTATAATTGTATATGTTCACTTTATGCTTCAGGATAGGTAATAATTGTTTATTTTATGTCAGTGTTTATATAAATGGCATGGAATTTTATAATTTAGGTATGTGTTTTATGTAATTCATAAGTGGTGTAAATAAAATTCTTCTGTACCTTTACGATGACGCCATTATTTGAGGCCATTTTTGTTTTATTCTAAAATCAACTCCATCAGTTGTCAGAATTTCTACGTGCTTTCAATCTGTTATATCTGTTTAATATCTATTACTCAATATTTCTCACAAAATCATTTATTCATTTTATTTGGGGATGAGCTGCATCCAATGCATCGATGACTGCAGCAATGTTTAGTTGAGTCTTTTCATTTAGTCTCAAGTTGAGAAAGAAAGATATTTAATGTTATATCATTAAGAGAATAGTATTAATGACTTGATTTTTGATTATATATCAGTAAAAGCCCAACTAACAACAGATGATAGTTCTTTCACAGGTTTCTTTTTGTGGATAGGTTACACGATGAAAATTGATTTTCTGTCAGGTTCACACTGGGTCTAAACTGTCACCAAGTCTAAACTGAAACTATCAAAGCACAGGTTTCCATACATAAGTTTAGTACTCATTAGTAGAAATACTAACAATATTATAATAATTTTTATTTCAATATCATGATATCATGGCAGTCCACTTAAGTTTGCGGTCAGCTGAAAAAATTAATCGAAGCAAATGTTTTTTCATAATTTTTTTAAGTAACTCATATATAATATTCAAAAGCAAAATTTTCTTGAATTTGCAAATTTTAATAAATTATTTTATGTTCCGGTATTTCGAAGTTCCAAGGTAATTTCTTATGCCAACATTCTTGCATCAGGAGTTTTGTAATCAGTGTTATAGGACAGTGAAACTCCACTGTTCAATAGTTATTACAGGACTGCTTATTATGTACATTCTGGTTTAAATTTTAGAAATATTAACAGAGTTTCACAATATCTGTACTCAACTCATTATATAAATTAGTTCTTCATGAAATATTATTTCCATAAAACGAAATATGCAGCTATAATATATACATATATGCAGCTAAAAAGTATACGTCCTATTTCAAATTTCATAATTTAGTTTTGCTCGAATTTAGAGAGAAATATGAAGCTTTAAGCGCTGACCATAGTTCTCGCCAGGTACGTTTGAGCTATCCTAATTTTTAAACTTTTTGCAGTTTTTGTAATTTATAGTCATTTTGTAGAAAATATTATTCATTACAGTCATCTCCCGATTATCCGGAATCAGTTAATCTGGGCACTGCAGGTAAAAGAAAAGTTAAGTTTCTTTATTGTGGAACGATGGAAAAGTTACTATTATAAACCAAAAAAGTAAAACAAAACTCACTAGGAAAAGTACAAAAAGAAAAAGAAAAATGCATGGTGTCACAGTATTTGGAACTTGCCTTTATTATAACAGTTTAAATTTTAATTTCGTGTAATCCGTAATATACGATATTTTCTAGAATACTTTTCTCCCTTTTTTTAACTAATTTTACGTCTGAAAATCGAGGGGGGGGAATTATGAGAGTAGTTTAATTTTCGAAGAATGCGGTTACAGCAAGAACGTAACAAATGAAAAGTAATCATGAAGAAACTACTGATAATATACCACAATATCATTTCTTTAAAAGAAACTTGCATTCCAATAAGAATACGTAGTAATATTAACATTACAATATCTGACGAATATTGAGCCGGTATCTAACGTAGCTTGTAAAGCCTCAGGGACACCTCGCATGATTAACAGCAGGGCACCTCGTCTTAAGAACAGTTCCGAAGAGGGACATCGCAGAAAAAAAGGCGAAGAAAATATTCGACTTCTGAAAGATCCAACACATCAGCAATAGATAAGGCAACAATAAGCTAGAATGTAAATATCAGAAGTAAAAGGAAATCAGATGTTTAGAACGTTTCTTAAGTGTAAGAACACCTGCCACGTTCGGGTAGTTAACGAAGAATCTGCACGAAATACGTTTAAAATGATAAATGCAAGGGAGAACAAAGTTGATAAAATGAAAGTAGAAACTGAATACACTGAATAAAAATAAAAACAATCAAGGGACTACAATTTCCCAATAAATTAGACCTCAGAGGTAAATTTACGTGCAACAGTGAAAGGGGGAAATTTTGCAAATATTTTTAAAATTTTCAAGGGTTAGGTTCTGAAAATTTATTAATTCTAGTAAGAAAAGTTAAATATTATAGGGGAAAATTTAGGAAGAAAATACGTGAGGAAATACGGCATAAACATCGTAGGTCATTTGTAAAAAGAAATTATTCAGTCTTAAAAATAAATCAAGTGAATCTTTTTCATGTTGATTCTCATCGAAGTACAAGAGTAATGCAGATAAAATACAATAGCATATGCCTTGTGAAGTGAGAAACATAGATAAGGACTGGAAGAAACAGAAAAAAGATGAGCTTGCACACTCAAGAAAGAGAGAGAACGAAGTTTTAAGCCTGATTTTCATATACATGATCGCAACTTGATCTGTGGAATACCCTGCTTGGAAATACAGGTAAATTATTAATGGCATTTTTATGTTAATTAAAATATACGTTATTCTTCTTTTCTTTGTTATTTTAATTGCCCTCCATTTAACCGTGATTTTGAGTTAACTGTGACTGTTGGCTCTTGTATTATCCCGGTTAAGTGTGAGTTCGTCGTTTTAAAAAATTAATAGTTTATATATAATATATTGGATGCATTAATAATGTCGCTATATATTTATTTCATTTGCAGTTATCATTAGTTAGTGTAAAAATACCTTATTTTATAACACTTATAAACCGTATTTTACGGCTTATGAATCGACCTACGTGACATGTAAGTCGATTTCGAGATTTTACCTAAGCATGCCTGGCGGTCGGCGTTCAGTTTATTATTAGTCGATGAACCAAGTTTTCGATCTCTGAAAACAGAAAAGCCGGCATTATTGTAAAATCATTTAAAAAATGAGGCATTTAAGTTTTTTGATGGATACAAAGATGATATTCCTGAAGGTTGATAGTGAAAAAACGTAGCTTCTGATAATTCAAATACCGAATGGGAGCCATATGCCTGTGTGATAGCTACGGCAAAAGATATAAAGGAAATAAATGAACACTCAATTTCAGATGATGATAACTGACTTTAAGCGTCCATATATTTATAATTTAAAGCATCAAAAGTTAAAAGTAAATTGGAGTCAAAAGCAGGGCGATTCCTCAACAATATTAAAAATTGTATCCTTGTAAAGGGGTTAAACATAAAATCAAAACATTTCAAAATAAAAATGATCGTAGTAGTGCAAACTCGAAAACTAAAAATGCGAAAAGGGAAAATATATACAAGATAGTAAAAATACATAAATTAATTTCCCTTTATTTTATATTTAAATCAGAACCAGGTCTAACTAATAATGTTCAACGACATTTTCGCTTGGCTCTGGTGAGTTTACTCGTGCATTCAAATCTTTCTTGAGAAAAAACTTTAGATATTTAATCAAGTTTTAGCGTACCTTTTCTAAGTAATTGAGACCCGGTGGCGCAATGGCTAGCGCATTGCGCAGCAGCACCAGAGGTCCGCGGTTCGATTCCCGGGCTAGGCAAGGTCGGCTCAGCCTTTCATTCCTTGATTTCCATCACTTGGGTTGATAAAATGAGTGCCAAGTTCGCTTGGGGACTAAACACTGGGGGTCTTGCAACAAACTGACCACTTGTTCAGGGCATATGCTTACCAAGGGGCCCACAGTCAAGAAAGCAGATTTCGGGCAGGCCTTGGCCCATTAGGGCTGTTACGCCACTGAGTTTTAGAGTTTTTAGTTTCTAAGTAATTATAAAATGTATTCGGATTTCATTGTGCTCTCCTCGGTAAAAGATGGGTTTTTCGGACGTAACAAATCTCCCCACACAAAATAAAATTATATTACATATTAATAACGTATAATTATAAGCACAACATAGAATTTTGTCAATCCTTTTGAGCATAAGACATATTATTTTTTAGATTTATTGAATAAAGTATGTTTCTGTTAACAAAGATTTTACTATCAGCTTATAAATTCAAAGTAATCATTAGAAACCAAATCTTAAAATGTAATAGTTATTTGAGAAACGATATTTCCGAAGAAGAAAGTCATATGAATAGGGAATATATCTTATTCCTTTCAAAAACTTATTTGATTTATTCATGCACTACTAAAACAAATTCAGATGAAATTAAACCTGAATTTAATTTTCCTTTGGTAGATAATGGTACACTAAATGAATATAAACTGAAACTAAAACAATTAAAGCAGAGTGATACCATTTGTCCACCAGCTGCAGTTAGGTCGGAGGTTCGAATTCCAGCAAGCGGATTAGCTGCATGAGCGCTTTCATAGTTTTCCCCATGTATAATGTAGATACGAGCCAGTTCACCTTAAAACATCCTCTACAGGGCGTCCCTCCTTTTAGAGGATTTCTTTGTTGCACGTCTCCATATTGAAAAAAAATAGTGCCGTTTAACAAATTCTGTATGCGCAATGCAAACCAATCTCGCATGTTTAAAGCAGCAGCTACTAGCACATGATGTGCGGGGCGTCCCATTAAGACCACCCAATCTCCTTAATGCCAGATTCTTCACTTGGAGTACAAAAAACTCCCCAAAGTACTGTAACTGTATGACCCATAGTTTTCGAGATAAATGGGAAAGAAAAGTATGACGTTATATCCGTCACACTGCCTATGGTTCTAGCATTATTGGACACTTAAGTTACGTACAAGAGCGTTGAAATGAACTGGCTGGAATAGCCAAATTGATACCAGGTTGATGCTATAGACAGATGACTGGCTGGAATAGCCAGGCTGAGCGTTGAATGAACTGGCTGGATTAGAACTGGCTGAGCGTTGAATGAACTGGCAGACCGCTGAACTAGACAAGGCAGTCCGATCCCCTACCATGGCCGCCACGATCGCAAGATCTGACACCTTTGTATTTTTTCCTATGGGATCATCTGAAGGAATTGGTCTAGGGAGACCTAGTTACTACAGAAAGTGACTTAGTTGGTCGTCGTCATGCTGCATATATTTGGTAGATACTATGCTGCTGCAATGTTCCACGGCGTTACATGCATGCCTCGATATGCGCAGTCTTAAAT